TTTTTTTTTTTTTAATGTGAGAATGACATTTCTCCATTTCAGAGTCAATATATATCCCTTTGGTTATCTTATCTGCAGACTTTTTATTGTCTCTATTCCTTACAGGCCTTGGCACTCCTTAATGAACTATGTGATTAGAAAGATCTTAGCACCATTTAAAACTCTGCAGCTGGGAGGAATGCAGCTGGCCTCATTTGACAATGTTTCGGGAAAGCACCTTTTGAGTTAAGGATGGTTTCTAAAATGGGGTGGAAACCAGTGATGTGGGCTGACTTGTGCCTACAGTGTCTGCGGTGGTAGGCATTTCAGGGGGCGTTTTCTCTGAGGACCAGGAGGAATGACACCCAGAAGAATTCCTCTGACGATTGCCTTCCGCCTCCTAAATCCTTAGTACTKACAAAGTGATATTAATGTGGGGAATGTGGAGAAAACAGAATGGGTGTTTAAGCTGCTGCCAACGTTTCACATGTAATGTTCAAATGAGGACTGCAGGGTGATGGTTCTTGTGTTTGGTTTCTTACCAAACTTCCTGCATCATCCCTTTACAGTCTGTTTGCTACTGGTCTATCTCACTAGAATAAGGTCCCAGCCACCAGGTTTGGTGGATCTCCCTTTAAATTGTAGGTATTTCGGAGGGGCGTTCAGGGAGTAGTTGTAGGGCAAAGGATGGTATCTCTGCATTTGGGTGTCTCTGAGTGCCCTTTGCTGCCAAGCCTGCTGAATTTTACAGCACCCCAAGCCACCTTTGAATGAGTGCAGCTGTGGACACTGCAGCTCCAGTCTGCTGGCTACACTGCTCTTGGTGACTCACAAGGTGGGTTCAGGCTCTTTGGGGAAGGTCTTTCCTCAGCTGCAGCTCGTGCAGTGTATGGTTTGCAGGGTGCCTACACTTACCAGAATGGGTAAGGGGGCTGTGCAGCACACAGAGCAAATACTGCAGTGATGCTGAGCAGCTGCAGTGATGCTGAGCAGCTGCAGCAGCCAGCAGCTCTACCCACCTTGTAGGAAGGATCCTTAGAGGATAATATGGTAATGAGACACTGACGCTGGAACTGATGAGAAAAAATCTGCTGGCTAAGGTTTAAATACTTTGTGTGTGTGTGTGTGTGTGTGTGTGTGTATAAATATATATATATATGGATGGATGGGTATGGATGGGACCTGTATGGATGGGTAAGGAATTACTGGACAAAGTGAGTGAGAAAAAAAGGGTGTACAGCTTGTGGAAGAAGGGACAGGCCACGTGGGAGGAATACAGGCACATTGTCAGAGATTGCAGATGCGAAACGAGGAAGGCCAAAGCCCGGGTGGAATTAGAGTTGGCGAGGCAAGTCAGAGACAACAGGAAGGGGTTCTATAAGTATGTCAATAGCAAGAGGAAGACGAGGGAAAATGTTAGTGCACTGCTGAATGGGGAAGGGGCCTTGGTGACGGAGGATGCCAAGAAGGCAGAGTTACTAAATGCCTTCTTTGCCTCTGTCTTTACTGCTAAGACGACCCCCCATGAACTGCAGGGCACAAAGGGAAGAGATGTAAATGGGCTAGAAGAAGACCTTCCACGGGTTGAGAAGGATTGGGTTAGGGATCACTTAGGCAAATTGGACACTCAAAAATCTATGGGCCCAGATGGGATGCACCCAAGAGTGCTGAGGGAACTGGCCGAGGTTATTGCTCAGCCTCTCTCCATCATCCTTGAGAGGTCCTGGAGAGCAGGGGAGGTGCCCGAGGACTGGAAGAAAGCCAACGTCACTCCAGTCTTCAAAAAGGGCAAGAGGGAGGAGCCGGGCAATTACAGGCCGGTCAGCCTCACCTCTGTCCCTGGAAAGGTGATGGAGCGGTTCATCCTAGAGAGAATCTCCGGGCACATGGCGGAGAAGAAGCTGCTGAGGAGCAGTCAGCATGGATTCACCAAGGGGAAGTCATGTCTGACGAACCTCATAGCCTTCTATGATGGGGTGACAGGCTGGCTGGATGAGGGGAGAGCCGTGGATGTTGTCTACCTTGACTTCAGCAAGGCTTTTGACACTGTCTCCCATAACATCCTCATACGGAAGCTCCGGGAGAGTGGGCTAGACGAGTGCACGGTGCGGTGGATCGAGGGCTGGCTGGATGGCAGAGCTCAGAGGGTGGTCATAAATGGGGCCGAGTCCAGCTGGAGGCCTGTGGCCAGTGGTGTCCCCCAGGGGTCAGTGCTGGGCCCAGTGCTGTTCAACTTGTTTATCAATGACCTGGACGAGGGCACGGAATGCACCCTGAGCAAGTTTGCGGATGACACCAAGCTGGGTGGAGTGGCCGACACTCCGGAGGGCTGTGCTGCCATCCAGAGGGACCTGGACAGGCTGGAGAGTTGGGCAGAGAGGAACCTCATGAGGTTCAATAAGGACAAGTGCAGGGTCCTGCACCTGGGGAGGAATAACCCCAGGCATCAGTACAGATTAGGGGTCGACCTGCTGGAAAGCACCTCCACGGAGAGGGACCTGGGAGTCCTGGTTGACACTAAGTTAACCATGAGTGAGCAGTGTGCCCTCGTGGCCAAGAAGGCCAATGGCATCCTGGCCTGCATCAGGAGGAGYGTTGCCAGCAGGTCAAGGGAGGTGATTCTGCCCCTCTACTCAGCTCTGGTGAGGCCGCACCTGGAGTACTGCGTGCAGTTCTGGGCACCCCAGTATAGGAAGGACGTGGAGCTTCTGGAGAGGGTCCAGAGAAGGGCAACCAGGATGATTAAGGGAATGGAACATCTCTCGTATGAAGAGAGGCTGAGTGAGCTGGGCCTGTTTTCTCTGGAGAAGAGAAGGCTGAGAGGGGATCTGATTAATATGTATAAGTTCAGGAAGGGAGAATGCAGGGAGGAAGGGGACAGGCTGTTCTCACTGGTGGCCAGCGATAGGACGAGGGGTAATGGCCACAAGCTGAAGCATAAGAAGTTCCGTCTCCAGGTGAGGAGCAACTTCTTTACTGTTAGGGTGACAGAGCAGTGGAACAGGCTGCCCAGGGAGGTTGTGGAGTCTCCTACTCTGGAGGTCTTCAAAACCCACCTGGATGCCACCCTGTGCCACATGCTCTAGGTGTGCCTGCTTGAGCAGGAAGGTTGGACTAGATGATCTGTAGAGGTCCCTTCCAACCTTAAATATTCTGAAATATTCTGAAATATTCTGAAATATTCTGAAATATAAAATATATACAAAAACCTGTAAAGCCGTTATTCTTCCTGTTTTCCCATGTAGCTATGAGCTTCCCTTATATACCTGGGCTATTCAGTAAGCCATAGATCCAAAGTACCAAGTCATTGGGATCATTCACAGATGGGCTTGCTTTATCCCAGCTTTCTTCCTGCTCTGCCACTTCTCACACCCCCTGGGACTGTTGTTCAGTGATGTTCCACAGGTGTTACCTTGGGGACTGAATTGGATGAACTGGATGTTCTCGTCTCAAATTAACTCAACCCTCTCCTCTTCCCTATTTTTCCCCCCTTTTGCAGGTGCATCGTAATGACCTGCATGGTCTGGGTGTACTCTTCTCTCATTTCTTTCCTTCCTGTCATGCAAGGCTGGAACGAGATCCCTGGAGTGCATTTTGATGCAGGCAGAGAATGCATCTTTGTCACCAACTGGATTTTTGCCATTGTAGCGTCTGCCTTGGCCTTTTTTGTCCCCTTCATGGTCATGTGCAGCATGTATTTCTTCATCTACCGGGCTTCGCGGCTCAAGGCCACACGGATCATGTCTCAGACGCTGGACATTCACTACCACCCCAACAGCAAGCGGCAGAACCACCTGCAGCTGGAGAACAAAGCCACGCGGACCATTAGCATTATCATTTCTGTCTTTGTGCTCTGCTGGCTGCCCTACTTTGTCCTGAATGTTTGGTTGGCTGCCAAAGGGGTCAATTCCACCAGCACTGTCCTGGTTGACACCTTCAAGATCATCACTTGGTTGGGTTATTGCAACTCCACAATCAACCCAATGCTCTACGCATTCCTGAACCGGGACTTCCAGCGGGCCCTGAAGAAGCTGCTCATTTGCAGGCACAGGTCTCAGGTGGACATTGGAGAAGACATGGTTTCAATAGCCACCTTTTCCAAGACTGCTCCAGACTTGGAATGTAGCGTGTCAGTGCCAGTGCCTAATGGCACTCTGAAGGCCAAACCCAAGTAATAGGGATTTGGAATCAGCTGCTGGAGGCTGTGGTGGGATCAACACAAGAGCACATCTGAATGGAAGAGCAATGGGAAGGAAAATAGAGGAAGCAGAAGCTGTAATAGAACTTGAGTGTTTATTACAGCTGGAAGCATCCTGCAAGCTATTGCTTCATCTTCCATACTTTTATCAATGATGAACTTTGCTATTTTGGGGCAATTTATTACAACTAATGAAGATAATTACTGTCTCACTATTTATTTTAATTGGTATTTCCTAAGATGAATTCAAACTTCCTACTGGTAAAAAATAACTTTGATAATGTGAACTTGTCTTGTTCTATTTGTAGCCTGGTGATCTCCTACAACCCAAGGTGGGACAGCTTTTTTTTTCTGCTGCGTTTACTGTAACCGTCATCTTGCAACTCAGATCATGTTTGACAGTTTTTTGTAAGTTCTTTTGCGTCAGCCTGTGAATGGGCACTGGCATGACGAGAGAGCAGAGTTAAGGCCTATATAAAACCAGCGTACACAGAGTTTGCACAGAGTTTGAGTAACACGATTGCTTCTGAAGCACAGAGGGCCTCGGTGCTTTCATGCTTCAGCCTTAGTGTTTGGATGCATAAGAGTGGTTCAGCATTGGTCACAAATGAGCAGGGGAAATGCTGTGTGTGCGTGGATTTTCTTTGGATGCCTTTGTAGAATCTAAGACTGCTGCTTCAGTGGTGTTTGCTATGAATTATKTATGACAAGTTCCCCTAGTCCTTATTTATTCTTGAAAAGGCCCTTATGTCTTAGACCTCTAGGGATGAACAGGCCTTGCTGGAATGTTTCTCTAGAGCTCCAGCTACCCAAGGAGCTCAGAAGAGGTTACAGGTGACTGACACCAGTCAAGCAGCAGAGATGGAGAAGTTACTGGTCAAGTATAAATTTTTTTTTTTTCCACTGCGGTGTCTATAGATTGATGCTGAGTGTAACCATATAGAGCATTGCTGAACAACACAGCAATAAAAAAGGATAAATCTCCTTTCCTCTCATCACTAAAATCCCAGCAACAGTCTATGACCTGCAAGCAGAAAGGACAGAACMGATTAGCTATTTCAAACACATACAGGAACACAATTATTCTTATTAGTCTTCAGTGCTTCATTGGGCTTTAAACACTGGTTCCCTGGAAAGGAGCAGAGGAACAACTGCAGGATGACCCTGGAAAGGGAAGATTGCACCAGAACCTATCTGCAAGTATCCAACACAGGGTAACAAGAGGGGCAAGTTAGKCAAAGGCCTGAGTCCTTCCACTTCCAGCACAAGGTAGCAGGGAGGAGGGGACAGACCTGAAAAGGTGTAGCAGAAAGSAAGAAGCTGCTGCCTCAACAACCTCAGCTGCTGAAGATGGACATGAAGAGGCCAAAATCCTTGCTCCTTTAGAACCTGGCTCTGCAGAAAGAACAGCCCTAATTCATGAAGTGCATCAGCTCTCTTAGCTMCTTTAGATCTGCTAACTACCAGGAAAGGGTAAGAAGAAGAACCTCCTGATCCTCATGGGGGACAGCATGGCAGCCAACCTGTTTTGATAAATGGGACAAAGAATTGGGTTCCAGTCCAAAAGCCATCCAGGCCGTCAGGGGCAGTGGACAGGAGTACAGGACAGAGCTACTCCYCACTGCAGTGGTTCAGGATGACATGGTGGAGAAGAGGCCAAGACCWGAACTCCCTCTTGCAGCTGTGGTAGCCTGTGCTCAAGTGTCCCTTGTGGTCCTTGGCAAAGAAGAAGTTGGCAGAAAAGGTCAGGCTGATGTCCATGGCCAGAGGAAGACAAGGGACTTGTGGCAACCTCATAGTTAATTTATGAGCAGCTGTGGGAAATTCAGAAAACAACTGGTAAATGAAACATCTGATGTTCTGATGGGCCAGAATCTAGGACACAGGCAGCTGAGAGAACAAGCAAGAAAATCCTGTCATCCACTCTGGCCTTAACACAAGGCTGCAAAGTGCCACTTTGAAGTGGCACTTCAGGTGCTAGCTGAAATATCACAGCAAAGCACTGTGATCCCCTGAAGGACCTGGCTCTTGCTTCACTTTAAGGAACTGGTTTCAAAGACTCTAACTGCAAAAATTTAATCTTGGAAAACTTACTGTAAAAAACAACAASAAAAAAGCATTTATGCAAATGTTTGAAAATTATCCCCTCTTCTTCCCCCTCTGATAACACTTAAGATTATGTCCAAGCCTCCATAATCCACACCTCAGCTTTTGAGAGCTCCATCTTCCCCTTCTTCAGACAGTATCTGGCTTTAGAGTGACATATATATATAYACTCATCTTTACATACCATCTGCACTGTGGTAACTCTGAGAGGAAGGCAAAGCAAGTGAGAGAAAGTGTCCGTGTTCTGGCTGCCCACGGCTGCCATCTGCAGCACACACCAACCCAAGCAGGCACTTGAGGGTTTTTTTTTTTTTTTAATAAAAAAGTTTATTAAATCATTTAGACTTGCAAAAAGTCACAATAATTAATGCACCCAACAATTACAGCAAGTGCATTCTGTACACCACCAACCCAAATGGATTGATTCTGTATTTTATAAATAAAAATTAACATATTTACATTGAGAAATAAAAGCATGGTATTAGGCARTTAAATTAGCAGGTTACAACAAATGCCTACCGTTGATTTTTTTTAAAAAGTACAAATCTACAAGATTACATAGGACACGTATGACTTCATTAGGTTTAAATCATCAGAAGCACGACATTTCATACATATTTCTTTTTACTATGGCTGTTCCAACCATTGTCTATAAACCCTTTTTTTTTCATGGCAAAAAGATCCTTTTCCTTTTCTACAGTTTTATCAGTATAAAATGCATTCCCTAAGAACTACGATAGTGCGGAAATACGAAACAATTTCCTCTAATGACCGACTAGGGAGAGTGACCGTATGTACAGGTGTGGTACTTTTTTGCTTTAAAAATAGTGCAATTTCCAGTTTACCCACCAGGGACAAAAATGGAGTCATAGTTTGTTTCAAAAGCATCTTCATTTCAAGAGCAAGTGATCTGGATATACACTCACCAGGCTTAGAGACTGTAATTTGCACTATAAAAATACAGTATTTTAATTCTATTTACATGTTACAGATCTCTCACTTACCCAGCAAGCTGACATTTACAAACCTCAAAAAACAAAAACAAAAAAACAAACAAAMAAAAAAMCACCCCGATAAACCCAAACAAAAGATAGTGGAGCACAAAATTGGTAAGCACAGTAGCTGGACCCATCCACCAAGAAGAGTTAAAAAAATGGAATGTGAAAAGTGTAGTTACTGCCTTTCCTTGGCTGTGGGAGTAAACCAAAATCTGTCCAATGCATCCTATACATTAAACATGGCAAAGAAAGCTTAAGTAAACTATTTCCAAGACAGACATTCTGCAACATAGGTTCCTTCTGCTGAATAATCCCTTTAAAGCCCGTCGAGTGGAAGAAGGGATCCTGAGGATATTTATTTGCTTGGTTGTCTGGAATGCTTATTTCCTGATAAACTCATTGTCCGTGACCTCTGCCTCAGCACTGGTTTTGCTGGGAGTTCCAAGTCTTCAAACACAGGATTCTCTATGATCACTGCAGCCTCTGGTCTCTCCGTGGGGCTTGGAGAGAGCATGTCCTTCACCATGGTGTACTGAAAGACAAGATGAGATGTGCTACATGAGTTCACAAACTCCTCCTTCTTTAATGTTCCGACTTTAACTGTTGCTGTATGAACAACTGTCAGATGCTCCCAAGTGCTTTCTTAGTGATTTGGGTATTAGTGCTTCAGGACAATACTTAGAAGTGCATTAAACCTTTCAAAACACATCGCTGTGCATCCACTGCCTACTTTTATTATCAAAGACTATGCTCTATCTGGCAGATCAAATCWGACCCAAAGGTCAACTGAGTGATAAAACCTTTACATTATTTGCTATCAAAAGAATTCAAAAATCTTGAAATTTAACTTATTGGCAAATTTTAAGCATCAGATTTAAGCTGCCACATGCACTAGTTTTACAGTGTGAGCTGGAGTTTGCCTTGAACTACGTAGGTAGTTTGAAGATATGCCTCAAATCCCATCACCTGAAGCACTTTCCAAAACATCTTGGAGTGAGGAACAGCGTGTCCTGCTCCTGCAGAGCCCAGCATGTTCCCCTAGCCCCCTGCAGCTGTGCAGGAAGAGAGGGTGGGTTCTCAACTCCTGTGCTGAAGCCACCATGAAACATGGAAGCATCTCAGTTTTGAAGAGGGTTTTAAACCTCCTCCTTACCTGAAATTTTACCACTTTAATCATACAGTTCTCCACTTGCAAGATCCAGTTCCTGGAGCTAGACCCCATACAGCCACGATGCTCCCTGTCTACAACTCTCAGCACTTCATGTACACGGACTCATTGCAAGAAATCATGTCAGGATTTAGGGGAAATGTGTGACAAGAAGTGACAAAAGGAAGTTGCCTAATATCTTGGAGCTACTTATAGTTAAACTGCACAACAGAAACACCGGCACACATGGAACCACAGAATGGCTGGGGCTGGGAGGGACCTCTGGAGATCAGCTAGCCCACGCCCACATCATAACATTTTAATTTTGAAGCATCAAAAAGTACTGGACAGAGAAATGCATCCTAAAGTCATGAAAGCTAAAACTTCTACATTTTCTACTTGGAAGACAAATCACAAAAAAAAAGCTAAAATTACTAGCATCAGATATGCTTACCTCTTGTGCATACTTCTGAGTAAACAGTGATGGGAACTTCAAATTTCTGACATCACTTAAGGTCTATAAAATATTAAGAAAAGCACTTAATTCTTCCAGAATACCATTTCCCTACAATATATTTTTATTATTTTTATTATTTTTATTTTTATTATTTTTATTATTTTTATCAAAAGTACGCCAACAGATCATCCTGATAAAGTCTTGCTTTTAATTATCGTTTTAGTGGTTCAAGCTACAATGTGCTTAAATGCACACACTACTCTTTCCCTATGAACACAGTCTGCGCTAGAATCCGTGTTACAAGAGCTCTGATCTTTGCAATTTTAAGGCGTCCAGATGCGCAAACTCGTGCTTTCCTACTCCAGCTCTGCGAGGTCAAAACTGCACCACCTGTAAGGCAAGAGTGGTTCTTCGCCACCAGAACGGGGACACACAGGCGGCCAGGCTGTCCTGGCACCGCAATCTCCAGTCCCTAGTCGGTGCTGATGGGCTCAGGGGCAATCAAAGACAGCTCAAGTGTTCCTGCAGCGCAGCCGCTCTCCATTGGCACCGTTCCTGATACGTTGGCTCCATCTAGTGACAA